ATTGACGGTTTACGCGAACCTCGTTCAAATATGTATCCCAGATTCATTGTTATTAATTTTGTCATATTCATCAGTACTTGATGCTAATTCTTCTTTTGCCTCTTCATTGCTATCTTTTTGACTTAAATTGGTTTCATTAATAAAGCAAGACACAATTTTTTCCTTGCCCTATAGAGGCGCAAACAAGAGCGTCTCTTGCGAGTACTGAAAACAAATATAAGCAATTCAATATTCCATTTCTTACCCATTATAACAATTACATGGAAAGAGGCTATCAGAACGTAACTGTCCGCTTATCATGGTATGCCTTATAGAGCATCTTGTCAAAACTGCCCTCAGGTATCAACTTATTGATGCATGTATTTGAATGCGTAACATTTTTGGCTCGATCACATTTGCTATAAAATAACGAGAGCATCGGTATAGAAGCATTATTCACGTAAACCTTCAATCATGTACATGTACGTTGGCGTTTTCGTGCTGTTCATATTATCGCTGGAAAACATTTCAGCCAGTGGGGGTAAGTAAAATGAATATCAGCTTTTGAAACTGCAGATTTTATATATAATTTCAAATTCAGTTCTTCATTTCTCCTTATTGTCGATATCTGTTTTTGTAAATTGTGTCACAGTCACAAATTGTTACAATTTCTAAATTGCACAATATTATATCTTATCGAAGCTAATTGAATTCATCATATTTTACTCACAAAGTACAATGTGTCTCAAAAAACGCAACAAACAAAAACATTGAAAAATGATAAATCCAGTCCATTTAGTTAACCATGATGCCATGTGTCTCTTCTTTCAAATGGTATGTCATTTATTTTTGCCGTCAGAATATACAGATAGAAATATTAAATACATATTAGCAATCCAAAAGATTTGAACTAATATCTTGATAATTTTTTGTGAGTTTTGAAATTTTTGTTAGGAAATAAGACCAAAACTCGCGATTCAAATTCTTAAGTGAAAAAGGATGGGTATCGAATCATGGCGAGCTTTTTGAACACACGTTTCTTTTAAACCAGTCATCAAAAAATTCTGAAAATTGTACACATTGTCAATTTAATGGTCATCTTTTGAATGGTAACAAAATAATTGGAAAGATGTATATATATATACTTTCATCTATATTGTTTTAGAAAACACATCAAACACTTGTTTTGTTCTTGGTATCGTGTTTCCAGAGTGAAATGAAACCTCATTGGAACAAAACGACATAAACACAACATGTTTAGGTCTCTCAATATTGTAATTGTACAAAGGAAATTTTGGTTCATTTTAAAAAAGTATCTTGTTCATGAAATAAAAGGTTTATCTTGATTTTTATCTATTTTGGGGGATTTTGTTTTAATTTTTTGAATACTTTTTTAAAATGAACCCAAAATTCCTTTGTATAACTATAATATTGAGAGGTCTAAAAACATGTTGTATATGCTATTTTGTTCCAACAAGGTTCGGAAAGACATTTTATTTCATTCTCGAGAATTGGTAGAAAGGAGCAAAAACAATTACATTAATGTTAGAAAAACGAAAAATGTTAACAAAAACAGTTATATAGAATATTTCTAAATAATTTTCGCATTAAACTGTTGTCATTCAGTCAACATTACATAAAATACCATGTTTTTTTACAGAATGTTTTCAATGATTGGTTTAAGAGAAAAACATTGTTGAATTCAGTTCTCCATATCGATACCTATCCTTTACTCTTTTAATGTTATCTAACATATTTTGGTTATTGTCGCTTATCCACATCATATTGGCACCTGTATAATCCTTAATCTTCTCACAGTATCTTTGGTTAGTATATTGTACTAGTTTTAGAATTTTGGACAATTTTTTGGCAGTTTTACAGAACTTTTCTTGGAGCCAATGATATGTCTAAATTTAATTGGCTATCGGACTAAATAATTTTCGCATTAAATCAGTAACATTTCATAGAATACCGTGTTTTTTACAGAATGTTTTCAATGATTGGTTTAAGAGAAAAACATTGTTGAATTCAGTTCTCCATTTCGATACCACTCTTTTGTGGCTGTTAATTTCAAATTTTGTAATCACGACATGACTGACATACGGCAGAATATCCTCCTTGATCTTATCTGTAGTGTTAACGTGTTTTATAGTTTGACGGATCGATTGCAAATTTTTCAGGAATAATCTTTTACAATGAAAATCTCGACCTGATTAATTTTTGGTCATTCTGGGTAAATGTTGAGGCGCCCATTTTTGATTTAAAGATCTAATAGCAAAGGTTTTGCAAAAATAAATCAATGTAGTATAAAACAAATGTATGTATAATGAAGAAATAAATATATAATGAAAAAAATAGATATGTGTTTGTAATATTGGTATAAACTTAAGATTAAAAAGTGTCACTATCTCTTTCATTTTTCAACAAATATAGGCTCACGTGACATGTGACGCGGGGCAGGCAATTTTGATCTATCGTAGACCATATCAGTATCAAATTGCTGATATTTCAACCTCGTCTTGCGAGGCCATTTCGATTTGAAACATCTTGAATTTGGTGTCAAAATGAAGCAGGCCACGCCCACTTTCAGAGTTATCAATGAATCATTTACTACGACTACTATATTCATTTAGGACGCGTGTAAAGTTAACCAATCAGAAAGACAATTGTTCCATATATGGCAGTTCATTAACATATTCAGTGTTTACTACTGCTTTTCGCGTCATGACAACACGAGTAGTAACCAATCAAGATGCCGTATTTTATCACGTGAGTTCAGAGTGACACGCACGCGACATGTTGTCTGAGGTGATCGCGATGTTGAACAATTTCTTCTCGGAATTTGTCCAGAGAAATCAGCGATTCTAAATTAAGGTAGGATCTGCTATTTTTTCCTGTACAAGTTATAACTTATCTCTATCGAATCCTAAAGTTTTGGAAGAAGATATGAAGCGTAGGTTTAAAAACAAAGCGATTAATTTGACGATCTGATTTTGCAATTTGCAATGGCCAATTTACTGCAAGTCCAGTGCATGTATTTGACAAGAGATAGCGCCAAGTCTTGTATCTAAATGCTTGTTAAGCCACTCAAAAACAAGATCCATATTTTCTAAATTTGATAACTTTGCAGAAAACCTGTTTTCATAATCTGTTTTCCGCGTCTAGATTCAAACTGAGTATGATAATAGGATCGCTGGAATCTTCAGTCAATGGCAACGGGTCTTCATTCCAGAACTCACATTTTTAGTTGATTCTCCGTCATAGTTCTTGTCTAAAGTCCCCATATCTGCTCTCTTACTGCCATACTTGCACACATTTCCCCTCCTTAAATTGTCTTCATTCAAATTACACCCTCTCGCCGATTTATATATAGCCATTTCCCAGAACCCGGGAATCAGAATCGCTGATGTTTGCCATATTGAACATATGTACTGTAATATCTGTACATTGCCTGCTACGCGTAATGGTCACGTGACTAGCGCGATACAGGAAAAATGGGGAATTTCGAAACAACAATTTTTGGGCACTTTTATTGCAAATTTCAGGTATTTATAAAGTGTTTGTAGTATAACATATAATCCACAGACATAAATGAACATCCAAACTACATATTTCATTAAGTTTTGGAGCCTTTTTTGGTCTTAAATTAACATCTTTAAGTAGTGAGTATTGTTGGGTATTCTGGTTGGAAAATCTATAAAGGATCACCCCTTTTTAATTACTTTCATGAAATTTTCACACATCAGAAAATTTCTAGTTACTGATTTGTAAAATATCAGCATCTCTAATTTGATAGGTCAGAAATAACAGTTACTATGGTAACTGGACTATATCGCAGACGTATACGTGTTATGCATCATTGTAAAGGCCAATGTAATGTGCTCCCTCACATTGACAAGAGTTATTTGATATTATTTTTTAGAAAATTAAATAAAGGAAGCCGTACCTGTTTGAAGAAAGAAATATCTTAATCGGTATTTAGACTATCCAGGCTAATAATTAGATGCCTTCGTTAAAATTTGTTAAAAAGTTATAATGGAAAAACGATCATTCCATATAGCGGACGTTAGCGCCTTTTTTAGTTACTTCGTATCAGATCATAAAAGACTTCCAACGAATTTTGTGCATAAGCACGATTGACATCGTCATTGCGTGATTTCATTCTCTGCAAATAAATAGCTTTTCAGTTAAGAAATATAATGTGTGAAAATAAGATATAGGTAACCAAAAGGAATTGAGAATTATAGATACATTTTTCTAGCAAATCTTGATAAAAGGCTCTGTGTAGAGGCATGGAAAGCGTGAGATTCACAGGGAGATATGTCGGGTACCAAAATAGTACTCATGGCATTAGCGCTAATTGGGTACTCTTTCAGTAAATATCAGTACGAAATGAGCACTTATGACATGAGCACTGATTTATTGCATCTTAGTTCTTAATTAGTACTCATATGATAAGTAATAAAATAGCGCTTATTTCATTGATTTTTCATTACTCAATGAGCACTCATACATATGCCGAGTACTCAATTCATGAGTGCTTATGAGCGCGCTTTTGCCAATTGTGTGCTAATTTAGTACTAATTTTGTACCAATTGAGTAATCGGCAGATCGTCCTGTGTTACTTTAATCATCCTTTGACAGTATTGTGGTATTTAAATTGTAAGTTAATATATACTCACCCCTTTAAAATCAACATTAACCATTCGAACACTAAATTATGTTTATAGCAGCGTCTTGGTCTTCGTGGATAGACAGAGATAACCCCAGTGGTAATGAAGACTCGGAGGATAGAGAGAACCTGGAGAAGGGACTGGGAGGGGTAAGTGGATGGCGGTTGTCAAATGTTTTTAATGACATGCGGGTCAAGGTTACACCCTGGTCTTTGTTCAGTACGATTAACAATTATTACAGTTTAAACTCATTTTAAGCGTATCTTTAAAAGATAAAATGATGACATATAAAATGAAGATTAAGGTGCTTGAAGCAAGCAAACACATTTACATGGATGCATTTTTCAGAGCATGCCATGCCAGAACCCAGAAGCAATAGAATGCAGGACAGTACGAACCCATATTCCTGCTTCGTCAACTGGTCAGGTGTTTAAAGCATCTGCTGATTGTTCAGTAGAAGGTGGACTGGTGTGTGTCAACAATGAACAAAGACCAGGTTCTCGATGTCTTGACTATGAAATAAGATTTCTCTGCCCAGTTGCTACCCCAAGTAAGTATATGATATAATATCATATGTAGGTATGGAATCATACTTCTAGTTTGGGAATAATTCATATTTGAAAGTGCCAATTCACTGACATTTTTAAATTTTCCCTTCTCCTGTTTTAAAGTATCAACCATTTAGACAGTTTAAGTTCTGATGTTTATAGCAGCATCTTGGTCTTCGTGGATAGACAGAGATAACCCTAGTGGTAATGCAGACTCGGAGGATAGAGAGAACCTCGAGAAGGGACTGGGAGGGGTAAGTGGATGGTGGTTGTCAAATATTTTGAATGACAAGCGGGTCAAGGTTACTTCCTGGTCTCTGTTCAGAATGGCCAACAATGATTACAATTTAATTTCCTTTTAGGCTAATCTTTAAAATATAAAATATGACGTATCAAAATTCGAGATTTAGGTGCTTGAAGTACGTCAACTCATTTATGTCGATACATTTTCCAGGGTATGCCATGCCAGAACCCAGAAGCAATAGAATGCAGGACAGTAGGAACCCATATTCCTGCTTCTCAAACTGGTCAGGTGTTTAAAGAAGCTGCTGATTGTTCAGTAGAAGGTGGACTGGTGTGTGTCAACAATGAACAAAGACCAGGTTCTCGATGTCTTGACTATGAAATAAGATTTCTCTGCCCAATGGCTACCCCAAGTAAGTATATAATATCATAAGTAGATATGGAATCATACTTCTAGTTTAGGAATAATTTAAATAAGAAAGTGCCAATTCGCTGACATTTTTGAAATCTTCTCTTCTCTTGTTTTAAAGTATCAATCATTAAGACAGTTTAAGTTCTGATGTTTACAGCAGCGTCTTCAATGGGGTCTTGGTCTTCGTGGATAGACAGAGATGAGTATTGGATATAGTATTGGAGATTACGAGGATAGATGGCTCCTCGAGATTGGTGGGGTAAGCAAACGATGGCATATCTAACAATATCGTCCTGAGCTGCTCCAAAAAATGAATTGTCGTTGTCTGGTACTCTGCCACAAAAATGGACATACTGTTTGAAAGTTTTGACTTCTATTATTGAAAAAATATATTTCGTTTCGATTGAAACAGGGGCGCTTTCCTCTAAATTGGGGTCACACAAGGTTGCCTTGTAAAAGCAACTTATGATAATATATATTTTCTACTTTTTACCACATAACTGCATTTCAAGTATGACATCAATTGATTTTGATAAAAATTTAGTACTTTTGATTAACAAAAGAATATAGAATTTGGAGTAAATTCTATACGGTCGGTCCGTCGGCCATTTTGAAGTCAAATGCTAAAATCTCTGCAAACTTACGGACGTTATTTATCAAAATGTGTTTTGTTCGTTGGGATTTGCTACTCCGAGGAGTTGCCGTTTTCTAGTTAGTTTATCGGCACTCTGAGTTGAGGTGGCAAGGGATGATGATTCTTTTTAGTGTATTTAGTTAGTTAGTTAAAATACTTTACATTTATACAATTGAAATACATAAAAATTCAAGTGAACAAATATGTCCAGCCGTTGTCGACTTATGAGTGACTTTATGTAAATGCGGGGAAATATTGACACGTTTGTGTCTTTGTTACAGTGTGCTATAAGTTAGGCCATTCAACGATACCAACTTTTTCATTTCTATTTTAGCCTTTATGTCATTTTAGCAAGTGTAGAAATAAGAATGTTTTGTAGTACATCAGCCATATTAATACTAACAATTTTATTATACAATCTGGATGTAGGTTATTTCGGTGCACCAGCCTTTTTTATTTCATATCTTAGCCTCTTGAGACATGTCAGTGCAGAAATAAGAACGTTATGTGGTACAACAAGCTTTTATGCTATACTCTTGGTCATGATGCAAGTTTTAAGCTGTTTTGGGTCATACTAGTGCAAAAATTGTGTGATTGCTATTGCAACGTTTTTTTTATTTTACAGGGCATGCCATGTAAGAACCCAACAGGGATAGAATGCAGGACTGTAGGAAGCCATATTCCTGCTTCGGAAACTCACCAGGTGTTTAGGGAAGGAGCTGAGTGTTCAGTTGCAGAGGGACTCAAGTGTCTGAACAGCGATCAGAGAGGTGGCGCTAGTGGCTTTTTATGTTTGGACTATGAAGTGAGATACTTCTGCCCTAAATAAAGAAAAGGAAATTTCAGATGAACATGCAATTGAAAAGAACCACTCCCGGGAACCACTTTGGCAGAGTATTTAATAGAATTTCAACAACTCAAAACATCAAGATTCGATTATGTAGACAATACATATAATATTCCCAAAATTTGTAATTTCATGGATTGATCATTTTTCAATTAACTTTTATTTAATAAGTTTGTGCTAATCAATAGTTATATGTTCATAAACGTGATGTTCCAATAAGAACTAAACTAATTTAGAAACGTGTTGAGTTTATTTTGTTTTTAAAATGTGGTCTCAGAAATCCTTTAATATGTTTTATCGTGCTTTAAAAGGATACGATATCGCTGTCAGGATCAATGGCAAACTGTCTTGAAATGGCAATACGAACCTTGGCATTAAATGTTGAAATTTTTTGTTAAAGTGCCCGATTAACTATAAAATGCGCATGCGTCCAGGTGTTGATAAACTATAAATAGCGAAAATCCAGGGTTTGTCACCACAAGGTAAGCCAGGACGTGTTGAGAGAACAGCTAGTGTTGATATTGAATTTATATGTAGCCAGATAAGTTTCCTTATTGAAATTACATATGGTTATTAGCAATACTTTGTAGGTGCTAAATAATAAAATATTTAGAGTATATATGAGAGAAATTGGTCATTTCGAACCTGTTGAAAAGTTTGTGGCTCTCGGCTACACCGGGGAATTTACTTCCATGAGTACACACATAAATGTGGGGTTCCCCAAGAGGTACGCGACAAGGTGACCTGGCATCAAATGTGCGACTAAATGCTACTATCGAGAAGATAAAATAACGAATACGACAATAAGTTATTGCATGTGACAATTCCGAGCCTTAATCTCACTGACGTATTTTGAGGTGAAAATAGGATTTTTGTTTTGATACATGGATTCAGATGAACGTAACTTTATTCTGACAACTAATCAAAACTGAACAAAATTGATTGTACGTAACAGACAATTTATTGTTTTACAATGTTTTGATTGGCTAAACGAATGAAACCAACAAATTATGACATGTAAAATGACAATTTTGAAATGTAAAATTTAAAAGTGACAAACACAACCTCCCCATCCACTCTTTGGGAGCCCTAGTAAATTAGTAATATAACAGGATCTTAAGAGGTTCTGGACAAATCATTTGATTCTGGACTTGTCATATTTTTTTTTCAACGAAATCACATCCAAGGGTTGAATTTTTATTAGCTATTTAGAGAGTGAGTCCTGCCTAGTATTAATTTCAATAAAAAAGTTAAAATAGAACCCTATTTGAGAGTCAATCTAATACTTACATTACATTGATAAATTAAGGCAAATCCTGTTTAAAGTGCATTTTTTATGAAATATTATCCAGCAAGTATTTAGATGAAACGGTCTTATTTAAATACAAATCATAACATGATGATATTTTTCATGAAACATTTTTCATTTTTAATTTAGGTGAAAACCCTTACATGATGATGTGTTTTCATAACTTCTGTCATAAAATTCCATCAAGGGGTGAAGATAAAATGATCGAATTTAAGTGATTTAAGGATCACGAGAATATGTTTTCATTTCATTTTCTATGAAATCCCATCCAATGGTCAAGGTAAAATTTTGATTTTGATTTGGTATTAGATCACGTCTTCCAAAGATCCATATAAGGCCCATAGAACCATATAGGAACGTCATTTTAAATGTCACGTGATAGATCCATATAAGGCTTTTAGAACCATGTCGGGAAAGATGAGGGGAAGCCCCTGACACCTGTTTCACGATTTTATCCGAACGTTGTTCGGATCATTTCGGTTTTTATGCACTTCATTATTGTACCGAAGTTTGCCGATTCGATTCGTCGTATTTCGGAATCCTGGTGACAATTTTATACTCCATTTGGAGTATTTTTTATCTACTTCTTATGACGAAAATTCCCGAACTTTGTTCGGATTAATCCGGATTTTCTGACCTACTTTATCTTCCGAGATTTCACGAGTTAACATTCGTCTCATTTCGGAATCCTGGTGACAATTTTATACTCCATTGGAGTATTTTTGATCTACTTCTTATGACGAAAATTCCCGAACCTAGTTCGGATTAAACCGGATTTTCTGACCTACCTTATCTACCGAGATTTAACGAGTTACATTCGTCTCATTTCGGAATCCTGGTGACAATTTTATACTCCATTGGAGTATTTTGATCTACTTTTTCTGGATTTTGCCCTACTTCTTATATCTTGACAACAAGCAAATCAAAAAGTTCGACATGAACGGGTCTCGATCAACTAACTTAGAGCGTGGGAGCCAGGCACGCTAACCATTAGGCCAACGTGCTACCGATATGAAAGAACAAAAGTATTATATATTTATACCGAGCGTCAATTCAAAATGATCCTCACTTTTGACTCCACTTAAATACGACTCGTCAGATGCATCCAGAATAGGTGAACGCCTATGGCGCTAGTGAATAACCAAGTCCCAGGTGAGTGGTTCGTATCCCGTGATATACTATTTTTGTTTTATTAAATACGACAGAAAGGAGCAAGGTGTAGTTTGAAAACAAGACGTTAGTTTGTTTCAAAACAGTTTGGAAACATTAATCTCTGATAATTTAAGATTTTCCACTCCTGAAGGGCATCTAGATCTATGAAATTCATTAATCCACTCAATCCAATTTCCCTGACATATCTACCGTTTCAAAATTCCCGGTCATCTTTGGCCCTTTTGACCTGATTTTAAAATTCCCTGACATTTCCAGCACTTGGAAAATTAAGTCAATTTCCCTGACATTTGCAGG